TAGATAGATTAATTAAATTTCTATGATTTGTATAAGTGTTAAATTCCTAAGAATTAAAAAAGAAATAAATACACTTAATTCTTAGTTGCAAAGATTCCATAGTCGTGCACATAGACTAATTTAATTGCCTTATCTGATTCTTTAACACCCTAATCTCATATTGATTCCTAATCAATTTTAGTGTCAAAGTTTTTTCTTAAAGAATAATATTTCTAATTTAATTTGATTAAGATTAATATTTTTTAAACCGATTTATTTTTACTTACTTAATGTGCAAGATTTAAATTGAATAGATTAATAGGTTATTTCAAGATAATTTATAATTTTACAAAGCTTAATTTTTTTTGTAACAATATTATGCCACTTCAAAGTTTAATCCATATATCATACAAGTTCAATATAAAATATAAAACATACTTAAAATGCTAATTTTAATTTTGGATTTCATTGAAATTTTTATTATTAATCTAAATATATTTCCTTAAAAAAGATAGATTTGAAGTAGATTATGTATTTTGATTATTCCTTTCTCTTTGCATATGTGGGATATATTATCAATTATTATTGTATGAATATTATAAATTTAATGTAATTTTATCATTAATCTTCAACTAAATGTGTGTATTTAATAACTTCTCATTATTAATCTTTTATTCAAAATCTAATTTTTGTAATTATTAGTCTTTCAACCTTTTATTCTTCTGAATCTTAATACACAAGCCTAATATCATAGACAAAGAAAAAGAATAAAAATTACATAATAATATTCAAAATAATCAACCAGTTACTTTATTAAACCTAAGTTTCAGTCAATTTTTGTTTAATGTTTAACTAATTTCTTATTGAAATCAATTTTTAAATGTCTTTTCTATCTAATTTTTTCTTTAAAAAGTGAAAAGAAATGAAAATATTAGTTTAAATAACGAATTATTTAATAAAACTTTTTAAGACTTTTACAATTGAAAATTGATTAAACATTAACAATCTGATAATTTGCATATTATCAGAACACTCAAAATTGAATTATTAATTTATACTCAATATTCCAAGTTTGACAAAGAATAGAAGTTGAGATAAACTTATGACTAAAGCATCATTTATAATTAGTTTCTGAGACTATTGATTGAAAACTGATTTTGTGCCAGAAAGGGCGAGGAAGTATAAACCGGATTCCAAATTGAATTGTGATAATTGAACATTACTTAAGATAAAAAATTCAAATAGAAAATATTCATAAAGCTTTAAAAGATGGATTAACATAAATTAAAAATTTATTTGGTGTAAATTTAAATTTTCCTCAAAATAATAGTAAGATAAAAAGTTTATTTAATATATAAATATTTAAATAAGGAGTATGGTTTTTATATTCTTTTCTTCTATCAATTAAGAATTTTACTACTGAACTAATTAAAACACATCCTGATACTGTCCCCAATTTCTTCTAATTTTTTTTCTATCCCTTTTTCCTCCTTTATACTTTCTTATTTTACATTACTTTTAACCAGGTTTAACAACCTTCTCAACAAAAAAAACTATAAATCCATGGGTTCTCTAGATTTAGGGTTGCATTAATTCTTATATGCAATACCTCGAGTTTTGCTAAGTTGAATCCTAACATAAGTAGAGATCATTTAGTTTCCTATCCTATTAATTTAAAATATATTAATCTTTACTTACCAGCATAGATCCATACAAAATCTCAATTTTGCTTTAACAAAAAACAATATCAATTATCTCCAAATCTTTTACAGCTAATTTGAATATATTGGAGATATCTCTTATTTCCTTGACACTGCAATTGGATTTGTGGATTGATCCACTTTCTGATCAAATGAAGGAATTAGAGGAGCTATCAAATTTACAGTTTCTAATGTTGAACGATCAAGAGTTAAACTATCTTTATCTTTTTCTAATATCATTAATATCCATTCTCTTACATTCTTATCTTATAGATCTTCGATGATTTAATTTTAGATTTATAATTATTAGGATTAATCTTTTTTAATTTAAAGGTTCAAATTGCTCCTCTAAAATAATGGGTACTCTACCGAAATTAAATTGATTTAGAACCTGAACCTACTTTTCATCCAACAAGTTCATGGATCTACCCATGAATAAGAATTTTTGTCTTAATTTTAATTTTCCAATTCCTATCTATTTTTGAAATATAATCAATGACCTACAAATTACACTTAGATCTTCTTAAGCAATGATAAAATCCAAAATTTTCTATTACTAAAGTTATTTGTGAAAAAATCCATAACCTTTTAATACATTATTTACTAAAAATTAGTTGAACAAATCCCTTTTTGGGTGATGAAGAGGAAAGTTTGAATTGCAACCAACCTTCAGGGAAATAGGGTCCTTAAGAAGACTTGAAAGATAAAAATATCTCATATACTAATTATATTCGATCTTTTAAAGGCCTCCGACATAGATAACTATATAAAATAATTTATGTAGCACTTGCTCAGCTAGCTCTTAGGAGGATGAAATATGTGTGAGGATGAAGATGATGTGACATTTTCAGTTTAGGAAAAGATATAGGCGAATATTGAATGCGGTTATGTTTCATTCATTGGATCAAAATGAATTAGAAGAATTTGAAAATTAATTTTCTAGATTACTTCCTGTGATAACTGATAAAGAGAGATATTATGATTAATAGATAAGATTGCATAGGATGAAGGTGAACAATGTCAAAGGTTTTCATTGTAAACTGAGGATAATTTACTGATATCAAAGCCTAGTTATCGCATGACTGCTGCTAACTGAAATCTAGAATTGATAGTGAAGCCCTACATTAAGTAACTTTGGGATAGAATGAATGGATGGGAAGCATTTTATCATGTAAATTTGATAATTAAGGTTTTGAGGCTAATTAAATGGATGAGATGTAACTTGATTTAGACATTGAACTCCAATTATAAATAATTGGATTGGGTGATAAATAGTTTGGGCTAAGTCAAACTCACACTGTATATCCTGTAATTATCTTAAAAGTAAAGAAAGAGACTTGAATTAGAGTGATTAGCTTTTACGTTATAGATTTGATTGGGTATTTTGAACAAAATTACTTTGTTTCAGTCCATAATTAATGTGTTAAAAGAACCCTGATGTCAATAAGGATTTCTCCTGTAATGATAAATATATACTAAAATACAAGATTATTAAATTATAAAGAATTTTTCGCTTCAAATACTTTTTAATTTTAAACCTTGAATAGATGATTTTATATTTCTTATAGATCTTGAATTCCTCAAACCATTAATCCAAATGCTTTGTATGTTCTGAAACATTACAACTTAATTATGAAATTAAATTGAATTCAATAAATGTGAGAACAACATAAATAATATTATATTACAAAAGGTAAAAATCACATTTATGTATTTATTAAATCAATAATAATTTTTTTTAATACTATAACTAATCAGATTATAGAACCAAGATACATATTACTAAGAATTAACTATTTCCTCCTAAATATTGAATCAATATAAAAAATTATTGTTGATATACTTTTATTCCAGTTTCCTTAATTAAATTCAAATCGTTTATACAATTTTTTAACCTTTCTAATTTCCTAATTTTCTAATACATTTTATGCGAATATAGAAAATTCAAATTTTATTTGATAATAAATAAATAGTATTGTCAAATAATATCATGTGGTATCATTGGACTATCTGTCAGCTAGATCCTTAGCTTTTGTATAAATGGACAAGATTGAATGCTAGAAAACTGACTAATTTGGGAGAATACAAATTTGTCTAAATTAAGTTTTAAAGGAATCATTCTTT